TATTTTTAAACGAATTTTGATAAAACTTTAGCGCTTCAAAATGTGATAGAAATCTTATCTCATTTATTAAATTTCTGAAGAAATTTTAGCATTTTTGACCGAATCATGAGTACTAAATATGTCTTGCTAAGATTTTAACTTACAGAAAGGTGCCAGAGAAGCTGAACTGTTAGGCGCTAAAATACGACAACGTTACCTCAAATATGAAATTACTGAGCCCAAACGAGTAAATTTTGGTTTTCAACTTTTTTAACTTCATATATGATTCAAATTAAAATAGATTGTGTAAGACGAACAGTATCTAAATAAGGAATCAATAAGGTCATTAATGAGTATTAACTGTAACTAAACTTATAGTCACGTAAAGAGGTTCAGGAAAACGACTAGTATTAACTTGAATTAGTATTCATTCCAAATATCATTCCCAAAGAATAATGATAACAGTCTGTGATCATATTTCATTAATCATTTTCTGAGTATCGTTTAGTCACTAAAATAGTTTAAGAAATTACTAAATTACATAGAACAGTCAGAATTATAAATTACTTCTATTCAAATGATTCTACATTTATAGACAGTAAACTTGTATTCTAGATTTATGTTCGAAGTACAAAATCTACCCGCACTTTTGAGTCTGCTAAAAATGTTTTAAAAGGAATGGACCTTTCAGATTTTCCAGCTCATATGGCGACAGATGGACGAACTGATGCGGTTTGAGTTATTTCTATTATAACTGTTTTCAAAACATGACTTTCTTTAACCACTTATTACTATAAATACTTTATTCACTATTTTTTTTTTGTATAATTTGCCATTCTTTTAATTAATCTCATTGATATTGCAATTAATATTTATGATGCAGGCAGGCAATCCGTTTTTCCATTGTCCCCTTGCAGAACAAAAAGTTGCAAATCACAAGGAGAAGTATTTTTTACGAGAAAATTTCACAGTAAGTTTTGATCTTAATCAATTCTCACTACTAGCTGACGTGTAAATATACTGTGCTGCTTGTTTTTTCGTTGTTCTACAAAAATTTGATACATTTCAGGAAATTTATGATTTGATGCGGTCAAAATTGAACTACACTCATGATCCTTATCTATTTTTCGATACTCTAACTTGCATGGTGATTAATTTCTGCTGACCATTGTCGTTACTTGCTTTTTTATCATGTTTACTGACTGCTCATTTATTTTTGATTGTTTCAAGCAATATCAACATATATTTTATGTCAGCTTAAGATTCATTCTGCAGTACGACTTTGTTATCTTTTAGAATATTACTTTTAAATAAGCTACTACTTTTATCGCAATATCGTTACATAATTATGAATCAAGAATTCAATTTAATAAGAACTAGTCACAGAAGATAAATGATAAAACGAACGTAATCAAATAGATTATCAACTGATAGAGCCATAATAGCTGCACTTATTAATATGAGATCAACAATAATGATAGCATTAGCAATAATATCAGTAATTTATTTCATTATGTCGTATTTTCGTATCATATATTTCATTTGAATTTGCTTAACAAAAATGTATTTGTAACCGTGAAGAATATATCAAACATCAAAATTCCAGGCACAACTTTTTTCTGATATTTTAACATCCCAATACTTTCAAATTTTTGTTAAAAAATTTATCAAAATTAAATTGCTGCTTTTATGTTAATTAAAACTAATTATTGCTTTCATGTATATTTTTATTAAAATTGCAACTTTCAGAGTAACATATTTATTAAGTATATTTTGTTACTAAATTTTCGTCGATATTTATTAAAAAATTAATTGTTAATTTTAGAAAGAACACAATTTGAAGTTACCAGAGTGGTGCAGCAATGAATCTTTTTATCAAACGCTAAAATTCATAAGCTGGAATGGTGTTAATGCACAGTTTGGCATGGGACCTTATGACGATGAAATGCAAAGAAAGCTAAGAGGTTGAACGTATTGCTTTGCTTCATGACTAGCTTTAATTTTTTGCATACATGGATTGTTTGTTTCTCTCACGGACTGAGTACTGTAATAAGATTCAATGTAACTACGCATGAAAAAACAACAGTGACGAGAATACTCTAAATTTCAGTGTATGAGAGCTACTCATCTTTTAGGTGGAAGCGCTTTGCGTGGTGTAGTAAGCCGAATAGCTTGTAAGACAAATTATTCAGGATGGACACCAGTTAGTGACTGTGAAGAAAAATTTTATGGTTTATCTGCAGCAAGTTTTTCTTTTACTTTTTTTCATATGTAATATTTTTTATTTTCATTATTTATTTATTTCTAAATAACCATTATCGCACAATGAAATGATAACTCAGTTTGTACGTGGTAAATAAATTTGCTTTCAATTAAAAAAACAACCGTCTATGTGATTACAATAATAAAAAATGTATGACAGTAATGCCATAAATAATGAAAATAGCAAAAATTTTGATGAACTGGAATTAAAAAAAATCCATTATTCTTTGCGTATTTGAGAAGTTCAAATTTTGTTAAATTTCTGTTTACAGCATGATATGACACTTGCGGCAATACTGTCAACATTTAGTGATATTCATGCTATTCTGGGTGAAGTGCCTCTGATTGACTACGGAGCGAACATTGCTTTCGAACTTTGGACAACAGACAAGACAACGTATAAGCTGAAAGTTAGACTTCTGACACTGATTTTTTAAATTTATAATATTTTCGAGGATTTCTCATGCGCTATTTGATGCTATTTCTTTAAAATATGCCAAAAACTTTATGTTAAATACAGTATTTCAGTAATAATTTTTAAAAGTACCACATTGCTCAGTGAGAATAATTTATTATGAAAATGACATCATTAATTATTAAAGTTATTTTTTAGGTGTTCTATGCCAACAGTTGGAAGGAAGAACCATTTGACGTAACGCGATTTGCACCTGGTTGTGAGAACTCAGTTGAATTTTGTAACGTCAGTGATTTTATTGACCATTCAAGATTGTTGTTTTTCGACAATATTCAAGAAGAATGTTCGAAAGGCGTTACATCCCAAACTCCACGTATGTCACTTTGTTTTCACATATTCTATTTCTTGTAATTTCACAGTCTTCATCATTTAATCATTAGTTACAATGGAATCATAATGTTGAACTTATTAAAATATTTCATTTAAACAAAATGAAATTTTATAATTTGCAAAGAAAATAATTAGTTACGCATTTCAAAAATAAGAAATAGCAAATTTTTAATTTGTTTCCCACATATTTTAGATATTGTGAGACGATCGATTGGAGCTGACATTACAGAAGAAGTTGATCTCATCGAACTTTACTAAAACATCAACCATTTTTGTTTCAAATTTCAGTATTTGCTGCCTTTTTTCAATGTTATTATTACTGAAAGAATATTAACAGTAATAATGCTCGCAGAATGTTCCATTTCTTCAATTACTTTACTCAATTCCTAAAACTTCTTAATTACGTTAATTATTTGCTACCTGTTGATAAACAGATAAACAAGTTTTTGATATAAAATATTTAGAAATATCTAATTCAGAAATAGCAACTGAACTCATAATTACATCGTTATTTGACGACAGTTATGCAGTACATTAAAGCAAAGACAGTTGATCACATAAATGATTGTTATTCGTCATTTGTTAGCAGTACTTAATTCTGAATACTTTACGCTTCATTTGTTCTAATTCTTCGAATATGCTAAGAGTTTCTTCATAATAGATTAATGCTGACTGATTTAAAATAATGCTAAAAGTGGTACTTGTATTTTGCTACTATTGTCCTGTGTATGATGAAAACTACGATGTAAAAAGTATTGAAAGGCAGCACAAATGAAGTAAATATGTTTGAAGTTTTTCATTTCTAAACATACTAGAAGTTGACTCTTGAATTTCTTGATTACCATTTTAAAATATAAGCATCAAAAACCAAAATGTGTAAATTGAATAACAAACGAGAACAGTAATTTTTGCAAGAACAAATGGGTTAATTACTTTGCTGACAATTCAATTATAGTCGAAAGAAAAGTGGGCTAATGTAGCTAAATGCCAATTCAATAGTGCTGTCGTTTAGAAACTTTAATTTTCCACATTCCGTTACGACACAATGAATTAGCGTCGTATTCGCAGAAAAAATAAACGACTTCATATCAAGAAATACTGGGAAGGGGTCAAAAATATGTACCTTGATGTGCTTATTAATGAATGAAACTTTTTGACCACATACAACAGCATAATTTGAAGAATGCAGAATTTTTTTTTTTTTTTGAAAACAAAAATGGACATTTTGATTTGCTAAATATATTTGGTTATAAGCAATATTTTTCCTGTATTTTTAGATTTAAAAGATTAATGTTTTATGGATTTGTTAGAAAGACTTGTTAAAAACTGAACCAATGATATTGATGAAGAACAATTCTAGTTCAGCAGAATCATTCTGAACTAAACAGTGATTTCAAAATAGTTTGCTAACATTACTTCGAAAATTCAAATGATTGTTAACCATAAACAGTATTTTTTTAATAAAAATTTGCATGAAAAATAGTTTGGACACTAACAAAGCAAACCATTGCAGCACATTTTTACATGAGTAATATGCGATTTTAGTGTTCAAAAATTTTTTTTCAGGCTTTGAAGATTTTGAACTTATAAAATTTTGAGCTCATCATATAATATGCAAAAATGAAAATTTTAAATAACTTCTGACTCACTCATCTACCAAAATACTCCCCAGTCTTTCTCTGATAAGCTAAAAAAAAACGGTCGGTTAGCATAGGCAATAATTTTGGTAAGCTTTTTTACTGATTAAAACAGTTACTGAAAAAAAAATGTCCATATATGACTATAGCATCATATAATATAGCACACTTATTGTAATGATGATAAAGTGATTATATTATAATATCGTAATGATGGTACCAAGGCATAGCACACTTTTTTGTTATTTGAGATCTTGGTTTTCATAGCCTGTTGTTGGTTTGTCAGACAGAAATAGTTGTGGAGAGTGCTCTATACACTAACTGTAGTTTGTTTATTTGTGAGGAATGGAGTCGGTTAGGTCAAGTTTGCTGGTCAAAGATTATGTAAAGGTTGTATTGTGCCTAGTATCGTCAGTTGATTGGTGTATTCACTTACGCAATTCATGCTGTATTGTGTTCATCATCTCATTATTTGTTTAAATTACTTAGTATTGCTTTTCTTGTGAGAAATTGACAGCGCGATAAAGAAGTCAGGTATGTACGTGAATAAATAGCTGTCATCCCATTGTTACTGCCGTTAAATGACTCGGAATTCTTGTCTCACAGAGTTCGCTGCATGACGCAATCAGTTCAAAATTACTTAGATTACATTCAAGTAATTTAATTCATTTTGTCGTTGTAAGTGTTTTGTATCGTGCAAAGCATCATTATTTTATTGAGATTATTACTCGTTTTGTTTATTTTTCTATCAAATACTCACTACTACTAGTATCAGTAAATGTTAATAAAGTGAAAATAAAGGCAACTTTTGTTGCGTACTAGTGTAATATCCCATTTGTATACGATAAAGTTACATTATCTAGAAGTCCAACGTTTTCTGATACGGTTAGCATTGAAATCGCGTTCCCATGTAAATTTAAAAACTACATAGATTCTTGCTGCTGTGCGCAGTCTCCTCAAGTGTTCGGACGTATTGGTATGGTATTGAGCGCATAATGATGGCCTTGTTTGATATCAGAACGAAATTTGTTGTCAAAAAAAGTACAAATATCCGAAAAATATATTGTCCTCAGCTGATGGTATTGGATGTTAGTAGCGAAGCAGTCTATGATGAGTGCAAACAGAAAATGCGGTTAGCAGTGCACAATAAGCGGTGCGATATAAGTATTGCTTCATCATTACTAACCAACAAAGTTAGTTCACTTTTATTAAATATACATTCATTGACTTTTTGCAGAAAATGAAACTCTATATGAAATTAATTTTTTTGCATCAGATCAACTATTTTTGCACTTAGCTGCTGAACATTAGGTTTACTCCGTCTTGTTGACATCTCAGATGTCGATTAACTTTCTGCAGAGATTTTGTGCCAGACCTGCATCTTCTTTGTCTTGTAATTTAAAACATTGCTTTGTAGTTGTATTACAGTTTTCAATAAGTTATTCTTACTTGCATGTTGTAGTTCATAATCGATAGTTACAATATTTTATGTTTCTATTTGATAATGCAATCATTACGTATATTCAATGAGACAAATATGAATTTGCATCCACATTTTGACGGCACTTAATTTTTTCACGCACTTCTAGCGTGTTTGATCTTTATGATTTTAAATTATCAGTACGAGTGTACTCTTCGCCTCATTTGTGTTTCTTAATTTATTAAAATATTTCAGCCAAGTTGGCTGGTAGTTTAAAAGATTTTTTTAGTAATTAGAATTTGATCATAAAATAGAATAAGTATTCATTGCTTGTGGTTACGAAATTATTAAGTCTTCGAAAGCTACAGGCTCAATTTACTGCCTCTCTAATTCATCATTTCCCGCGATGTGGTGGAAGAGCATCATATGGTGATGTTATTCTGGAATATACTCCTCAGTTACCTGCACCTGATACAATGAGGATTCGCCTGTATATTGCTTATCCAAAGGACAAAAAGGAGTGGTATAAGTTAGTTTTTTAATTGATTGCTTCTTCGAAGTGACTTATTCAATTTTGATGGCTACTAACAGCGGAAAGTCTTTATTAATTGCTAGTAAAATGGATAATTTTTCTAATAATTGTTTTGTTTTTATTATTGCAAAAGGAAATACAATTTATTAAATTGTCTTTTATAGTGAATCATGTTTGCAACGTGCAGGACTGATTGCATTAATGGTTCAAACGTTTATAGCTGTCGAGTTAAGCATTTTTAATGGAAACAATCCAAATGATCTCCGACCGCTTATTCCTCACTTTGATGTAATGTGGTCGAACCAGCAGGCAGGTTGGATTTTCTTTTCATATGTAATATTCACTCAGATATGGTTGAATCTTTCAAATGTGGACTCATGCTCTCCAGAAATAACTAGAAATCATTAAAGGCACATTCACTTTTATAATTTTCCTTTTTTATGTATGAACTGTACTCTCGGTTTTGTATCATTTTCTGCTCCTAAAAAATTGCTCCTTAAAAATTATGTTTATCATTTTCATAGTTGATGTTATCAGTGTATCGTTCTAGAGATTCCAATACAGGAGAGAACAATGGCTTCGGCGGAACACGTCATGATGTCTGGCAAGTTATTTTTTTAATAATTTTTATTGCTATGAATTTTTAAAAAAATATGAGCTGAAATCTATTTGAGGTATTAACGTTGATGTTCGTTATCATTTCTTATTGCTCGGCTCTACAGAGTTGTCGAGTGGTCGACTTGCCAGCTAGTCGAATCACAAATATGTATAAATATAAATAAAATAAAAATGTGGAGGTTAGTTTTCGTTTTCGCTTTATTTGTTCTGGCGCTGGATCACATTCCGGCATTCTAGCTGTACATCTCTCTCAAATTTTTGTCGCTTCGTTCTCGTGGAATCCATATCGATTGTCGAAGGAGATGCTTTCGAGCGTCTTCTTAAGGACTATCGATTGAATGTATGCCTCGACGTAGTCAGATATACTAATCTCCTTCGCACAGCGTTTGCGGAAGTTCGTTACCATCCCATCCCAAGTCATCACATACGGAATTATTTTGATCCTGCATTTCATCTCTGACCCAAGCTTATCAGCGAGTAGGTCATGTTTTCTCTTTTTCTCAATCTCGACTACTCTCACCCTGTCCTGACTAGTGATGCCAACCTCAAGATTACTTCACGTCGCTTCTAGTCGTGTATCGTAATATATGGTCTATCCGCTTTTATTCTGATTGCAGCTTTCTCATGGCAATATCTAACAGCACTAGATATTTTTCCTTTAAATCTCAATAAACCTTAGACTCGTGTAGCGTATTTTCCTCGAAGTGCGTATCTTGTGGTTTGACACGTTTACTGGATTCCTCCAAAAACCGTTTCTATGAGCACAAACGACCCGCAATACTGGTGATCACAGAATTCGTTTACTTTTTCAGTTCTTCGAGGGTAATATAGCACACGAAAACTTCTCGCTATACAAGGAACGACACAATGGCCATCCCCCTCTCGGCATTCTTCCAAATCGGTCAAGGACCGCTTTCAGCACCTCTCCTGGCCACTTGGTTCGTGGCATTTTCAGATCCACGGACGAGTGCTTCAAGCGTGATCATTCTGCTGGCACCAGGTTCCGGTACACTGACAGTATGTTTTCTCACACAGCCTTCACATAGCTTTTTCCAACCGCATCTGTCTTTGTATTGGTTTCATTTATGATTCCAGATGCGGACCTTTTCCCTTTAGTCCTAATTTTTGAACACAGCCGCTCAAAGTCAACCTCGGAGCCAACCACTCAGCACCTCTGCAAGGCCGAGAATTATTGTATAACTATAAATTTATTTATTTATCTGTTTATATTTATGCATATTTCTGTTGCTACTTCATTTCATTTTTAATTTCTATGTATTGCCGTTATTATAATTTGTGTTAATGACGTAAAATGTTGTCACTACCACCTGCTGTCTTAAAAACAGATATTTAGTATAATTTTCTACTGTCTTCGAAACATTTGATGCAAGAACCTGAAAAATTACTATAAATTGATCATTATCGTACTATAAGAACTTCTAGGACCGAACCTGACCGAGATGACGCCGTCTATAGCACTTTTGGAACTAGACAAAACGGCTGCGGAATTAGCTCATGAACGTTGCCTTGCGCGTTATATCCGTAGTCGTCTTTCTTTTCTTAAAGAATTGAATTCGAATGAATTATTGCATTTGGTTTTTCTTCTTTGCCCACACGATGCCGAAGAATATGGAGAGGTAAGGTATTTTGGGTTTAAGAACCATCTAACAATTTTTATTTGTAGTTATATTGATAGGTTTGGCACTAATATAGTGCATGAGTTGTTCATGTTGGGCACAGATTTTATTTGAGGAAAAACTGGAGACCTACTTGGATGTTACTGTCATTAAATCTCCTGCGTTTTATCTTCTTCCCACAGTCGCTTCTGAAGTACATCGGTTTTTACGAGATGTAAATATTGCATGCTTTCCTTCAAAGAATCAGCAACTTCGAGTTGTGGGTTGGGTAGTATGTTATTTAACCGCATTTATTCTCTTAAGTTATTAAAAATTCTGGTTAATCATTTAATTAACTACGTATTTTATGTATTTCATTGAATAGATTTCATTGAAATGTTGAAGTTTGTTTCGCTTTGAAAGTATTAACAGAATGTTACGAGATTTAGAATAACTCCTATACTCTGCGATTTACAAAGGGTGGAATTGTTGCATCTTATTTGAGTGGAGTCATTCATGAAGTGGGTCATCTGTTGAAAATTCCACATACTAATTCAGGAATTATGAGAGATGGTAAGAAATTCTAATTTAGAAGTTTTTATTATAATTCCCTGAATTTTTTGCCCGTTTATAGGAACGTGAATTTTGAGTTTAGCAAATAATTGTAGTATATATA